CCCGGGCGGTGCGCCGACGCGCGCAGCGCAGACCTTGCACGTCATGTAGCCTGTCGGCGCCCGGGGCATCCATTGCGCGCTCTTGGCGTGGATATCGCGCGCGGTGGTCGCTTGGCGCCCGGGCGCATTCGCCACTATCAGAGGCCTAGTTCTCGCGCCGCCGGCGACTTCATCTCGCGCGCGCAGGCGCGCGTGGAAGTGCCATTCCCCTGCGTTGGGACGGGGCTCGCCTGCGACGATCGCTCGTGGTCCAAGCCCAGGGCGCCAATGAAGCGCGCTCGCGACCAGCGTGCCCAACTCCCCGCCCGAATCCCCTCTGGCCCGCCGCTCACTGCATGGTCTTGTCGCGCGCGCCCCGGTCGCGTCCAGCTGCGCCGGGGTGGCGCGGCCCCTCTGGCGCTCCGCGCCTACTGGCATTCGCGCGTCTTCGACTTCCACGTCGGATGACTCTTCCGGGGACTGGATAGGCATTGCGCCGCGAATACTCTCGCTAAAATTGGCACGCCCCCGCGGAGGCTCCGCGCTCGCGGTCTCTCGAGCTGGCCGCTCGCGTCATTGTTCTGCCGGCGCGCGTGGGCTTCGGCCCCCCACTTCAGCCCAGGAGGGTTGTCCGGTTTAAATTGTCCGCCCGCGCGTCTCGCCCAGCAGCCTGCGCCGCTTGTCGACCGAGGCGGACAATTATGTAGCATTCAGCGCCCTGACTGTTCTACCTGCGCCCGCTGACCGATGGCGCCCGAGGATCTCGCGCCCCCTGTCGGAGAGAACGCCCGCGCGCGTGGGCGCCAATTTGCGAGCAGATTTCGGGCGGAACTTGCACGGCCCACGGCGCGCTCGTCAGAGCCGTTTGCCACTCGCGCGCAGCCGCCCCCCTGGCGGCCGAACTCCCAAGTGGGCGTTGGCCAGCGATGGCAGCGCATACTGCGCGTTCGCTGCCACTCCAAAGGCCGCCAAGTCTTCCCGCGCACCCGCGCGCCAGTGCATACTCGGCCCCGAGATGCCGCGCATCGGGGCGGCCTGCGGCGTTCGTCCCGCGCCCTGTTTGCTGTCTGTTCCGTTGCTTCTGCTTGGCAAAATTCCTTATGCCAGAATCACGCGGGGCATCCCGCGAATTCCCAAGTGCCGGGCCGGCCCCGGCATGCGTCGCCACTCCTCGGGGCCGCGAACAGCTTGCATAGCTCAATGCAACAGAGTAGTCGCTGTATCCGTGCCAAACGCCGTCTGCCTCACTCTGCAAGCTCATGCTCTATCTTCCGCACTTCGTGTGCAGCGCAACACGCCGCGCCCCGCTCTTGCCCTCGTCCTTCTCGCCGACGGGGCGCAGTCAGCGCGGTGACAGACGCGGCTGCCAGCGGCAGGGGCGGCGCGAGGCCTGCCGGCCTGTCCGGGGAATCGAGCGAGGCATCCCGCGCCGCGGGCACGGCGGAATTGCGCCCGCTGTCCACCAGGAAGTGGATTCGTAGAATGATGTCGTCACCTGGCACTTGCTCTTTGCGTTCCGAATCCCACGGCCCGCGTTCTTAGGAACTGGATTGCGAGCTCGGCGTGCATGGCGACCGCGCGATGCAATCATCGTCTCGTGACCAGCTGCTGCGGCGCGATCTTCGGCCCAAGCCGCTGGAGCAATGCCCGGGTATTTCCGCCAACCATGACCGGCAGGGTCGCCCGCGCCCGCGTCGCCTCCTGCATGCCGCGTCGAGCGCTTCCTGCCAGCAGTGGGTCGCAGCCCTGGGTCTGCGCCAGCCCGCGCCAGGGGCGCGGCCATCGGCTCGCTCGTTGTCGGCTGCTCACGCGGATGCGCATTCGCGACTGCCCCGGGCCCCGCATCTTGCGCCTCTCGTAGCAGGCGCGGCCGCGCCCCAAGCGGCGCGCGGCTCAGCGGCGCGATGTCTCGACAGAAGAACGCCCCTCTCCCTCGGATCGCGCGGCTCGCTTCCGCCTGCGCCGCGGCCTGGCGTTCGACCCCGGTGCGCTCTGGCAGGGCGCCCCGTTCCTGGCTGGGGTCGCCGCGGGAGATCTGCGGGGCGCAGCGCCGCGCGCTCGAGACCCACCCTGGTACTCGCACGAGGCTACGCCATCATGGCTACGGAGGGGCGCAGCGGACGGGCCACTTGGGGCACTCGTTCGTGCCGACTCGCAAATGCCTGCGTCATTCGCAAGCCTTCTTCCCTTCGCCGACTTTCCATTTTCGTGGGCCCAGAACCGCGCGCCGAGCGCCGCCCGCAAGCGCTGCAAGCAAGCGCTCTTTGGGGGGCCTCCCCCGCCTGCTCAGCTTGCCATTTTCTTCCTGGGCCCCAAGCTGCGCGCCGAGCGCATTATACCGCCGCGCTGCCTGGTCCAATTTCGTTTTGCTTAAACACTTGGGGGGCACTGGGGGGTTCATTTGCTGCGGTTCCGACTGAGCAACTCCCTGCAGCCCCGCATCCCTTCCCGCTCCATTTTGCCGTCGCGTGCGATGTTGGCCTCGCCGCCGCGGCGAAACACGCAAACAAACCAACTCCACTGGCGTCCATCACGCCGCGCATCGGAAAGATAATTGGGAGGAGGGGGGGCGCGCGCACGCGCGCGCCGCGTCGGGAGACGGAGCGCGGGAGCCACTCCCTGCGCCGCAGTTCCTGAACGGCGGCGCGCGCGGGCTCCCTCCCTGGCCCCGTCAGCAATGCGAGTTTAGCCCGGAACTACCCAGGAGCCGAAGCAAGCGGGACCCTTCAGGAGGACGCCGCCCCTGTATCCATGCGCGTCCCATTCCCAAGGCACGGCACGGCACCTCCTCCTCCTCCCCCTGTTATTCCTCCTCCTCCTCCTCGTAGATTTCAGAGGCGTTCCGATTCCAAGACGAATTGTTTTCCACATCATACTTAATATAATTTTTCCAGCGGAACCGCCGGGCGCTCCATTTTGTGACACGGAGTTCTTGTAACATTCTATATATATATATATATGCAACAGTGGCGTTGTGTTGTACACGGTTGTTGTGGTGCACACGGGCGTCGTGGTGTACACAGGCGTTGTGGTGCGCGCAAGCACACTGGTGTACACTGGTGCTGTGTTGCGCACGGCCGCTGTGGTGAACGCAGGCGCTGTGGTGTACACGCGCGCTGTGGTGCATGCAGGCACTATGGTGCACACTGGCGCTGCGTTGCACGCGGCTGCTGTGGTGTACATGGGCGCTGTAGTGTACACAGGCGCTGTGGTGCACGCGTGTACTGTTGTCCACATGGGCGATGCAGATCGCCGCCCACATGCTGCTCTTACCCGTCCTCGGCCATCCTTGGGCATTCCCAGACGCCACCGGCGCGAAACGCGACGTCACCAGCCCTCCTCCTCTGCCCCCCCCCCCCCATTGACGGCCGTCATCGCCCCGAAAAGTCGAAGAAAAACAGCCACGAAAGCCTCGGTCCTCGAATCTCGATCCTGGGTCTGCTCCTCTTCTCCTGCGTCCTCCTGCCTCCTCCTCCTCCTGCTCCTCCTGCTCCTCCTGCTCGTCCTCCTCCTCCTCCTCCTCCCCTCCTTCTCCTCTTCTTCCTCCTCCTCCACCCCCTCCTCCCCCTCATCCCTCTCCTCTTACAGCGTAGCCAAGGGCGGACGGTACCATGACGCCAGAGCCGGCGGAACCCTGGCCAATTGCCATCATACCAAGCGGGATGGCCTGGGGAGCTTCCTCTTTTGTAAGGGCATCGTCTAGGCGCAGACTCGCGCGGAATGCTATGTGCTATGTAGAGGTGGCATCCCGGGATCATGGGCTGGATAGCCGAGGGCGAGGGAACAAGGAGACCCCAGGACGCCGGAGGACAAGGAGGGAGAGCGCGGCTCGTGATCAGGGGCACTCGCCTCCAAAACCCCTAAACCTACGCCCCCCTCCCTCTCCTGCTCCTCCTCATCCTCTTCCTACTTCTCCTCCTCCTCCTTCTCCTCCTCCTCCTTCTCCTCCTCCTCCTCCTCTTCCTCTCTCTTTCTCTCTCTCTCTCTCTCTCTCTCTCCTCCTCCTCCTCCTCCTCCTCCTCTCTTCTTCTCTCTCCTCCTCCTCCTCCTCTCTCTCCTCCTCCTCCTCCTCCTCCTCCCCCTCCTCCCCTCCTCCTCCTCCTCCTCCTCCTCCTCCTCCTCCTCCTCCTCCTCCTCCTCCTCCTCTCCTCATCCTCCTCCTCCTCCTCCACCTCCTCCTCCGCCTCTCCTCCTCCTCCTCCTCCTCCTCCTCCTCCTCCTCCTCCTCCTCCTCCTCCTCCTCCTCCTCCTCCTCCTGTTCCTCCTGTTCCTCCGCTTCCTCCTCCTCCTCTCCTCCTCCTCCCTCCCTCCCTCCCTCCCTCGCTCCCTCCCTCCCTCCCTCCCTCCCTCCCTCCTCCCTCCCTCCCTCCCTCCCTCCCTCCCTCCCTCCCTCCCTCTCCTCCTCCTCCTCCTCCAGTTCCTCCATTTCCTCCTCCTCCTCCTCCTCTGCGCCCCACCTGCGAGGCGAGAGGCGCCCAGAGAGATCTCCCGCGGCTCGCCTGCTCGAGCCAAGCCCCCCTTCCCCCCGGGCCCGGGCCTCTCGGAGTGCCGCTTCCCCGCGCGGCCAGCTCGTCCCAGCAGCGCACGAGGGCAAGGATGAGGACGACGGTGAGGACGACGATGAGAACGCGAAAGATGCACGAGGACGAGACAGACTGGGAGAACGAGCCCTGCTGTCACAGAGGGGCGCGTCATGGGCTCCCAAGAGGGCCCTTCTGTCACAGAGGGGCTCAAAGGTCACCTGATCAGGGATGCTGGATTGTAAGGAGATGATTGGAGGAGAAAAATGGAGATGCGGATGAGGATGTTGTGGAGTGCACTGGGGAAGGGATGAGGAGGTGAGAGGGGGAAGGGAGGAGCGGCACTGGCCTGAGGACGCGCCTAGCAGCGCCTGCAAAGCACTGGCCAGAGGAACAGCGGCCCCTCCGGAGGCCCCCAAGCGGCACAAGAGGGCGGCCGCCTCGGTGCTTCCGAGCCGTCAGACCTCTCGGGGATCCGCGGCCGCCCGCCGCTGCTGCAGGCTACAGGTCGGCCCCGTCGCAGGCGGGCTGCAGGAACTCGTGCCCGAGGAGATCCGCCGCGCTCGGCCTGTTCTCCTTGTCGCGGTCCAGGCACCGGCTGACGAAACTTCTCGCCTCGGGGCCCCGTCAGCGGTGCTGCGCGTCGTTGCGCCACGTTGCGCGGCTGCGTTGCTCTGGCTAGCCGCGGAGTGTGATTTCCAACGCAAATCCACTGGATGGATTGGCGCACCCAAGCAAACTGCAGCCGTGATTCGAAGCATTCTCCATTACTCTGTTTCTCCCGCCAGACCTGCCAAACACCTGACTCGCAACTGTCCGGGTTTCTGGGGCCCAGATCGCCGCGGGCGACAGCGAGTCTGGAACAGGCGGCAGCTCGCTGGACATGCCTATCTTCCGCATCGCGGCGATGGGATTGTCCATCCTCCCCCACGGCGGCTTCGCAGTCGCCATCTCTACGACCACGCACCCTAGGCTCCAGATGTCCGCTTTCCTACCATAGCCCTTCCTCATGATGACCTCCGGGGCCATCCACGGGATCGTGCCTTTCATCGTGTTGGCCATCGTGCTGTCCTCGTCCGACAGCTTCGAGCAGCCAAAGTCAGCGAGCTTGACCTGACAGTCCAAGCCGACAAGCAGGTTGGCTCCTTTGATGTCCCGGTGTAGGATGGGGGGCGTTTGCCGATGCAAGTATTCTAAACCCTCGGCGGCCTCCCGGGTGCACTTGGGCATGAGATACTCACCGAGTGGACCAAACTGCTGGAGCACCTGGGCAATCGAGCCCCCGGGCATGTACTCCGCGTAGATGTAAAGGCTCTGCCCGATGAAATCGTAGCCCAGGAAAGAGACGATGCGAGGGTGCCGAAGAGCCTGGCCTATCTTGAGCTCGTTCTCGAGGGCTCCCCGGAGCGCCTCTCCGGACCCCCCTTTCGAGGGGCAACGACAGCGGGGGCCTGGCTCAAAGAAGGGGGGGGGGGGTAATGCACCGTCAGTGTATTCGCGATGCATCGTCGATGCATCGTCGATGTATTCGCGATGCATCGTCCGATGCATTCGCGAAGACATCGGACGATGCAGTCGGCGGCGAGCGAGGGGGGGAACTTGGAATCGGCGATGCATCGTCGATGTATTCGCGACAGGCTCCTGATCGCGGAACCGCTCCAAACTGGTTGGGGTTGGGCGCCCAGGCGAAGGGCGGCGAAGAGTGGGCGATGTAGGGCCGATGCTTCCCCCCCACGGGGCCAGCCCCCCCACCCCTGTCGTTGCCCCTGACCTTGGCCCGTGTCCAGAGCGACCTCCTTGACGGCGATGACCTCGCCAGTCTTCTGGTCCAGTGCCCGGAAGACCAACCCCATCGCGCCCCTGCCGATCTCCTCACCCCGTACCTGAAGGGCCACAAGGTGCACACCTCGGCGGCGAGCGAGGGGGGGAACCGAGAAGGAGAAGGCCTCCTCAGCAGGCGGCGGGGCTTCTCAGAAGCCCTCGGGCCTCCTAAGAAGTGTCCTGCGTCTGCGGGGAGGGCTCAGACAACTTCCCAGAAGGCCAGAGGACGTCCGAGCCCTCTGAGAAGGCCCGCCACTTCTCACTTCCCCCCCCTCGCTCGCCGCCGAACGCCAGCACTGATCACCGCCGAGGCCCGCCCTTGGCGCAAGATCGGCGCACACGCCCGCCCTCGGCCCCCTCGGAGTCCTGAGCAGGTCGACCCGCGCCCCTCGTCGAGCTCTCGGGAACCCCATGCCCAGCAGAGCGGTTGCCGGTCGTCTGTGAGGGGCTCCGCCTCACAGTGCGCTTGGACTCTACGGATGGTCCGCTCAAAGACGTATGGGCTCACGGTGCACAGACCATGGCTGTCTCATTTGCGACGACGACCCTGCCTCACAAAACTTTTGGACCCGGCCGGTGGAACACGCATGCCCACCCGGCTATGCACTGTGGTCGAATGGTTTGCAGAATCGCGACAAACCGAGCGAACTATGAGAAGCGAGTCATTCAAATACCATGAGCGGGCCAGTAGTGGGTCAAAAGTTATTCGCAGGTCATTCGTATGCCAGCAGTGGGACTTCATGGGTGGGCCGCTAGCGGGGCATGAGCGGGCAATTAGTGATGTGAGCCATTAGTGGGGCGAAAGGAAGAGTCGGGGCATTGAATCAACTGATCTGAGGGGATCGCAGCGAATATTCATAGTGAGTGGCGTATACTTTCGGGAGGATTAGCGGGCCACTCCTTTTGCTGTTCTGAGGCGATACCCTCCCAGACTAGTTGCGGCCTGTCCCCTAACCCACAGATGCGCAAATGGTTTCATCTGCACGATCAGATCGCGCTCCTGCAATCCTATCTGCGAAACCTGTGCCGTGGTGCGCCGTGCCTTGCCTTGCCCGCATGCCGTGCCGTGCCCGCGCTGCGCCTGAATCCCAGAATGCGCACAGTGTGCCGTGCCGTGCCCGCGTGCCGTGCCGTGCCGTGCGCGTGCCGTGCCCGCGGGCCTTGTCGTGAACATGTGTCGTGCCGTGCCATGGCGTGCCGTGCCCCCATGCCGTGCCGTGCAACGTGCCGTGCCGTGCACGCGCCCAGGTCGATGGCACGCACGAAACTTAGCCTGGCGAAGAACCCAACCCCTAAGTTTAACGCGGGGCGACTATAAAGGGGACCGCTCAATGCACGAAAACATCTTGAAGGGCCTCGAAAATCCCTGGATCCTTGCGCCAGAGAATGTCAAACTACTCCCGCCGTCGCCCATTCACGCGCGCACTCTCACGACTCACATTGGAAGCGAGGACGGCCGCGAAACGCGTGAGAGGCGTGCAGAAACGGCACGAAGGCGCCATGCGGACCCTGCCACTGGGGCCTTCGGTGCAGCTCCCTAAGGGCCACGAACCGTGTGAGGGGTGTGCCGAAACGGTCGGGGCGGCCGCATGTGGGCCCTGCCACTGGGGCCTTCGGTGCAGCTCCCTAGGAGCCACGAACCGTGTGAGGGGTGTGCCGAAATGGTCGGGGCGGCCGCATGTGGGCCCTGCCACTGGGGCCTTCGGTGCAGCTCCCTAAGGGCCACGAACCGTGTGAGGGGCGTGCCGAGATGCCCGGGGCGGCCGCATGAGGACCCTGCCACTTGGGCCTTCGGTGCAGCTCCCTAAGGGCCACGAACCGTGTGAGGGGTGTGCCGAGATGGTCGAGGAGGAGGGGGAGGAGGAAGGATGGAGCGCGGCGCTGCGAACTCAGAACGAGGACCCAACACACAGGAGGGTTGGGACAAAAGCAGTGGCGTGCCGTGGCGTGCCCAGCCCGCGAACCGAGCCCACGTGCCGTGCCGTGCGCGTGCGTCGGATGCAAACTGCGAGAGCAAGATGTGCTGTGCCGCGCCCGCGTCGCGTGCCGCGCCCGCGTCGCGTGCAGTGCCCGCGCGCTGCGGCGTGCGCGCTCCGAGCCCGGATGCCACGAGTCGCAGGGAGCCGTGGCGGGCCGTGCCCTGCCCGCGTGCCGTGCCGTGCGCGCGCCGTGCCGGAAGCCTCGAGCGCGGCACGCGTGGCGTGCCGACTGTGTCAGCCATGTGCCGTGGACTGTGCGCACCGTGCGCGTGCCGTGCGGATGCTCGTGCGCGTAATTAGCGTTCAGACACCATGCTTTTTGTATGAGAACAAAAAGCAGCAGTGGTGATGATGATGAGGTAGCGTTAGATGACAGCTCCGTGAGCCGCCACGTGAAGTTGCGCTACCCGTCGCAGCGGCGCTGGCCGGGATACCGCCGTTCATAGCCGCCGTTCATAGACGAGCGCGCTCCACTACTTGCAAAGTAACGACTCGCAAATGGCCTGGATCCCCCGCGGGGGATCCACGATAAATTACACCAAAGCAGACATGTGTTTTTTTCTGACGTTCGCGAGTAGGCATGTTGCAAGTGTAGTGGAACGCGCTCGGTGAGTTCAAACATCACGTGTCATCTCGGCTACACGCAGGAGCAACCCTGGGTAAGAGTGACCTGTGGTGCCCGGTTTTTGGGGGGCTCGGTGGGGGCCAAACGTAAGCACGCAAGACGCTACGATCGCATCGCGTTCGGCGATCGGGGGGCCCCGGAGGGCCCGCACCAAAGGTCACTCCGGCGAAGGGTCACTCTTACGCGTAGCCGGAGATCGACGATCAAGTGTGTCTGTATGGTTTTTGCCCGCCTGAGTGCGGAGGCGCAGGGGCCCGGATGCACCGATCCTGGGCTTAGGTCGGGCATGTCCTCCTACAGAGGGATTTTGGACGAGAAATCAAAAATACGCTCAAAATGTTGAAGAATACGCAAACATGATCAAACAAACAAAAACATCCCCTGACTAACCCGGAGAAGCAATTAAGGAACCCCCCGGCGTTATCATTAGCACCGCGCCGTAATTAAATAATTATTCGGGGGGGTTTTCGCCGAGCGATATTATTAGCACCGCGCAAATGGAAGGAAAATAAATAATTCCAGCGCCCCGCCTCGGGTGGCATCCCAATTAGAATTGTAATGAGAAAAAGAATACGAACACGAATAAGGAAAAGCTGAGAAAAGCAAAGGAAAAGCTGAGAAAAGCTAAGGAAAAGCTTGCGATCTGGTGTACCCCCTCCTGGTGCCAGGATAACGCTTCCGGGTGCCGGGTGCGTTATCCTTTCACCGGAGAGGGGGGGGGGGGGTTCCTTAATCGCTTACTCGGGTTATTTTTGGGCTATGTTTGAATCTGCCCCCTGTAGGACAGGCCCGACTCCATCCTGGGTCTGGGGGTGGGTCTGGACAGGATCCGCGCTGGTGTACAGCCAGAGCCAGCCACAAGGACCGAGGGCAAGGGGCGACGGCACTTGGAACACGCCACAGTGCCGGCGGATACCCCACGGTCGCGGGGGCAGAAAGCCTGCGCGCGACACCCAGAACCGAAGGATGCAAGGGCCCCCTGACTCCGATGCCCGTCCTTGATTCCGCCAGCTTTGACTGCATACCCAGACATGTCCGCTGAGACGTTTTTTCAAGCCGTGGCCCCAGGAATCTGGACCCCTTCCCGGGGAACGGTTTTGCGTCCAGGATCCATTCTTAGTGATCACGGGGCCCGATAACGGGCCCCAGACGCCGAAACAATTGAAAAACAACGTGATTCACAAAAATCCAATCGTCGGCAATCTGGGTAATTAGCTGCCCTCCCAGAAGGCACCCACGTGATCGACGAGCCTCGGACCGCGACCTCCGCGCTCTGCGTGGCGAGGCCGCGCATGGCCTGCGCCTCGCGGTCGATCTCCCGCACGGTGGCGGGGGCCAGCGCCAGAGCGGTGACGCCGCTGGGTCCCACGGTGGCGTTGAAGCCTGAATGGCAGGACCCCCCCCCGCCGGCCGGGTAGTTCTTATCGATCCCCGCGCCAGCTGATGAGCAACAGCAACAGAAGCAGCCAGGTTGTCCTCCTCTCCTCCTCCTCCTCCTCCTCCTCCTCCTCCTCCTCCTCCATCTGCTGCTGCTGCTCCTCCTCCTGCTCCTGCAGCTGCTGGTCCTCCTCCTCCTCCTCCTCCTCCTCCTCCTCCTCGTCCTTCTCCTCCTCCTCCTCCTCCTCCTCGTCCTCCTCCTCCTCATCCTTCTCCTCCTCCTCCTCCTCTCCTCCTCCTCCTCCTCCTCCTCGTCCTCGTCCTCCTCCTCCTCCTCCTCCTCCTCCTCCTCCTCCTCCTCCTCCTCCTCCCCCTCCTCCCCCTCCCTGTGCCCGCCAGGGTTGACATCAACCCTCCGGCCAGCTGCAGGGCAAAAACAACCCTTCAACACTCAAGACATGGAGTAACACGGAACTCAGCGAGCTACGACGAGGCCGTACAACCCGAGGATGCACGATGGAGGGGCGTCCGTCCTTCCTCAATTGGGGTACGTTCGAATCGTCCCCAGGTGGCGTATCCCCGTGTGCCCCCTCCTGCACGGTATCCCCCGGGGCCCTAGGAGACCCGAGGAGGAGGATGAGGAGGAGGTGGAGGAGGGGGAGGCGGAGGAGGAGATAGAGGGGGAGGAGGAGATTGAGGAGGAGGGGGAGGAGGGGGAGGAGGAGGAGGAGGAGGAGGAGGAGGAGGAGGAGAGGAGCAGGAGGAGCAGGAGGAGGAGAAGGAGGAGGAGGAGGGAGGAGGAGGAGGAGAAGGAGGAGGAGGAGGAAGAGGAGTAGGAGGAAGAGGAGCAGGAGGAGGAGGACTAAGTGGGCTAAGTGCAAAGCGACCGAGGGGTCGCGCGGAAGGGGAGGCCACAGGCCTAATCGGAAGAGCAGGAGGAGGAGGAAGAAGAGGAGGAGGAGGAGGAGGAGGGAGGAATAGGAGGAGTAGGAGGAAGAGGAGGAGGAGGAGGAAGAGGAGGAGGAGGAGGAGGAGGAGGAGGAGGAGGAGGACGGGTCGCCTAAGCCCCTCGGAGAAAACCTCTATGCCATCCTTCCCTGAGCGGCCTGCTTTAGCTGGGGGAGACTCGGGGATTCTTGGGGTCGGCTGGTGGCCGCCTCTGTAAAAGAGACCACGGCGCGCGAGACGACCGCGGGAGTTCGCGCGCGAGCGGGGACGACGCCGCCGAGGGGAAGAAGGAGGGGGCCGCCGAGGACGGGGAGGGGGAGCAACAGGGGGCCTGGTCGGCACCAAAACCAACATGGGTCTGCCTGCGCCGAGGGAGGGCGATCCTGGATGTGACTCCAGGTGGTAATCTCACAGACTTCTGGGGTGGATGCCCCGAACAGGACTGCCCTCACGGAGGCGAGGAGGGTCTTCCCTCAGTCCTCCTCCTCCTCCTCTCTCCCTCCTCCCTCCTCCTCCTCCTCCTCCTCCTCCTCCCTCCTCCTCCTCCTACTCCTCCTCCTCCTCCTCCTCCTCCTCCTCCTCCTCCTCCTCCCTCCTCCCTCCTCCTCCTCCTCCCGCAAGAGCCGACACTGGTGTTGGTGCCAACCGCTACGGCCAGGAACTGTTGCTCAGCGTGTCGCGGCGGCGGCACCGGGCGACACGCTACGCCCTGCGAGCGGGTAGCCTTGTGCCGCTCCGCACCGCGGGGCGGGAGGCTGGGAAGAGCTCGGGACGATGACGCCTGGAAGCGGGGACGTGGCTAGCACGTCACCGAAGCGCGGTGGGCCAGAACTGGCCGCGTGACACGCAAAGCAGACGTTCCTGACCCAAGAGGCCCGAGCATCACTGCAATCGCCAACGACAGGGCCGTCTTCCCTCGGTCGAGGCAACCGACGATACTGGTGTTGGTGTCAACCTCAGACCTCCGAAGGAGCAGAAAGAGGATCGTGTCGGACGATTGGGCGGCGGGGAAGTAAAGGAGGGTTAGCGGCACAGTTCAAGTAACCGATATGTGTGGCGCATCCTGGCGCTGGAGGCGCCAATGTATAGAAGAAAGCGCTAAGTGGCGAAGCCCGAACCAGCTGCATGCCGCAGATGTCGTACCCCACCGACCCCAGCTTTCCCCAGCCCCCCCTCTTACGTCCGACCCGAGAGGAGGACGAGGACGCCGAGGACGAGGACGAGGAGGAATAGGAAGAGGAGGAGCCGGAAGAGGAGGAGGAGGAGGAGGAGGCGCTGCTGAGAGCCGCCTGTGCCAACTTTGAAGCTGGCCTTCACGTCGTCGCCAGCCCCATGTTCCTCGCGCGCGTGGCGCATGGCCCAAGATGGCAGAACGTCTGACCGCAGTCGCTGTCAGCCAGATGGGGCGAACACGAAGGGCTCCTTCCCCCTTCTCCTCAACATCCACCTCCTTCTCCTCCTTCCTCCTTCCTCTTCCTCCTCCTCCTCCTCCTCCTGCTTCTATTCATCCTCTCCCTTCATCCCATGCTACGCGTGTAAGGAAACAAAGGCAAGCAGACACCAGCTAAGGCATCAAGCATACCGCCTCTCCTTCCTCCTCCTCCTCCTCCTCCTCCTCCTCCTCCTCCTCCTCCTCCTCTTCCTCCTCCTCCTCCTCCTCCTCCTCCTCCTCCTCCTCCTCCTCCTGCCACCCCTTCCTCTCTGCTCTTGCTCCCCAGGACTCTCTAGCCCTCCAGGACTCTCAAAAACTCCCAGAATCTCTGAGGCTGCCCTGGAATCCTTCCCCCTTCCCTCCGGTAGAGAGCCCTCAAAAAGTCTTCGCCTAAACCTCCTAAGCCCTGCTAACATCTCTCCCCGAGCTCGGGCGTCGAGACCACAACCGCCTTGGCGAAGCGTGCGACCGATTTCTGCGACATGGTCTTCGTGCGTCGTTTCTCGATCCAGGCTGCTAGGCCAGGGACCCGAGGCCGGGAGGAGAGGGGCAAAGACGCCCATCGTGATTGACTCGCGAGGCCCAGATCTGGAGGGCTCGCCCCGCGCAGAGAGCGGCCCCCCAGAGCGCGCCCCGACCAGGGCTTCGAGGTCAGTCCAGCTGCGGCGACGAGGGCAACCCGGCAGAGGCCAAACACCATCGAAAAACACTAGAACTTTGCCCTCTTCCTCCTCCTCCTCCCCCTCGTCGCTGCAACCCCAACCACCTGTTGCTCTTCCTCCTTCCTCCTCCTCCTCCTTCCTCCTCATCCTCCTCTCTCTTACTCGTTCCTCCTCCTCCTCCTCCTCCTCCTTCTCTTCCTACTCCTCCTCCTCCTCCTCCTCCTCCTCCTCCTCCTCCTCCTCCTCCTCCTCCTCCCCCCTCCTCTTCTTCCTCCTTCCTTCACGTATTCCTCCCCAACCCTCATCCTACTCCTCCTTCATCCATATCCTCTTCCGTCTTTTCCTCCCGTTCCTCCTCCTCCTCCTCCTCCCTCCTCCTCCTCCTCCTCCTCCTCATCCTCCTTACTCCTCCTCCCCCTTCGCCTCCCTCCTCCATCCTTCCCGTCACTCGAAGTCAGCCGCGTCCTCAGGGGCAGCTGTACATCCCGGATCGCTGCCCGACAGTCCCGGGGATCGACAGCGGCCCCCCGCAGGCCAGGGCATCCGCCACCGCGCTTGCAGCGGTTGGTGTACGTCGGGCCTCTGCTCGTCTGCTCGTCTCGCTCCGTGCAGAGCAGCAGCAGAGGACCCCAGCGCATCGAGCCCAGCATGAGTTCGTTTGCTGACGAAGTCGATGCGCCGCTGCCTTCCCATGCAGGAGCCCAGGCGTCCAGGCAGAAATCCGTGGAACGTGCGTGCCCCCCCCCCCCCCAGGCGCCACCCCGTCCCTCCCAACCTACGGCCGTCCACACCGACAGCACAATCCAAAGCAGACCGACGCAACCGCACCGCCTTCACTCCTCTCCAGTGCTTCCTCCACCACCTCGGTCATTCCGTTTCCTTCCTCCTCCTCGCCTGGGTGGCGGCGATGCAGCAGTGCATGTATGCATGAATGCATGAATGCATGCACATCATCAGAATGTACAGATACATGCATCTCATCAGAATGTGTAGCTGTGTGTATAATGATGCCCCCCCCGAACTGTCAGGGTCTTGCACGTTGCTTCCGTGGATGGCCGATGCGCTCCTCCTCCTCCTTCTCCTCGCTCCTCCTCCTCCTCGCTCCTCCTCCTCGCTTTTCCTCCTCCTCCTCCTCCTCCTGCTCCTGCTCGCTCCTCCTCCTCCTCCTCGCTCCTCCTCCTCCTCCTCTTCCTGTTCCTGCTCGCTCCTCCTCCTCCTTCTCCTCCTCCTCCTCCTTCTCCTCGCTCCTTCTCCTCCTCTCCTTTTCTCCTCCTCCTCCTCCTCCATTTTTCTTCTTCTTCTTCTTCTTCCTCCTCCTCCTCCTCGCTCCTTCTCCTCGCCATTTCTCATCCTCCTCCCCCTCCTCCTCGCTCGATCCTCCTCCTCCCGTGCCGTCCTGGGGACGCCGCTGCGGCTGCTCTTCATCCGCCGCCGTGGAGCCGTCCCAGCAGCCGTCGCCGCCTCGGGCGACGGCCGCGGACTGCAGCTGCGTGAAGTCCACCGCCTCGGGGGCGAGGGGGGGGGGCAAGATTTATGCTGTTTTCATCGCACCTCAGGACCACATCCCAGAAATAATGTGGAGCACCGTGAACAGTGCCGAAGCAGTGTCTGACGAGTGACTCCCCGGGCCCGACGCGTGAAAAAAAAATCCCTAAGAGTTTTGGAGTACCTCTCTGGTGCTCGAAATTCTTTCGGGTGGTCAAGGCTGAAGCAGGTTGGAACATCATAAGGCAAGGGGCGAACGGCGGGAGGGGGATCAGCGGCGGCAGCGGTAAGGGGGACGGGCGGCAACGGGCGGCGAAGGGAGGCGACCGGCGGCGAGCGACGGGGGGAAGCGAGAAGGAGGAGGCCCTCGCGGAGGGCGGCAGGCCGTCTCAGGAGGCCAGGGGGGGACTTCCGAGCCTTCTGAGAAGGCCCGCGCCTTCTCTCACTTCCCCCGCGGGCTCGCCGCCGAGGTTGTGAGGCACCTCTGAGAAAGCGACACACAGAAGCTGGTGGTAGTCAAACATGGCACCCCAGAGCGCGACCTCGAGGGCGCGAAAAGCGGACATAACGCATCTCCCCTACATGGCGCCAGTGGGCGCTATGGGGTGTCATTTGAAAGCTATTCGGCGCTAGTGGGCGCTCTTGAGCGACAGTCGGACAACAATATGCAGAAAATCATTGAGGCCCCGCTCGACACCTTGATCGGATGTACGTAGGATGTACGTCCGTCCCGTCGCTTATGTATGCTATATGAACGTGTCAGACCAAAGACGTATTCAAACATGATGGTCTTGATTGCGCTTTGCATGTTGCGTCTGCGCAACGTTCGCAAATACCGCGAACATGTCGGATATGTGTTTGCTGTATGTTACGTCTGCCAATCTACATACCCGTATCCGCCACAGGGCCCCTGTGGCACGAGATGGAACGTCATCAGGCCACTTGTAGTCCAGTCCTCAGGATCAATAACTTTTGGAGGGCCCAGACCCGCAATTCCCGGGGTTCCTGGCGTGCCTACCAGGCCCGTCGCGTCTTCCCGCATGACTCTTTCGGGCCCACAAGGGCCCAAAAACAAGCCAAGAGGGATACAAGAGGCCTCGGAGACGGTCCAAGACGGTCTCGAGTCACCGAAAGGTCGCTCCAAGACGCCCAAGACAGCCTCAAGACGGCCTTAAGATGGCCCCAGATGACCCCAAGACGCTCCAAGAGGCCTCCAAGAAGACTCCCAAGACGCTCCAAGAGGCCCCAAACATCAGCCCAAGATGGCCCAAGAGGCCTCCACGAGGGCCCCAAAACGGCCCTGGACGGCCCAAGAAGCTTCCAGGACAGCCCTAGACCCACGAGGCCCCCAAGACAGCTCCAAGAGGGGGCCCAAACGGGGGACCCGAACAGACATTTCGAGCCCGCAGCTCCCAGACCTCCAGGGGCCTCCAGGAGGCCCTGAGAGGTCCCGAGCAGGTCTCAAGAGGCCCCCAAGAGGCCCCGAAGAGGCCCCCAAGAAGCCCCAAGACGCCCCCAAGAGGCTCCCAAGAGACCCCCAAGAGGCCCCCGAGAGGCCCCCTAACTGCCCCCAAAGAGGCCCCCGAGAGCGCTCCGACGAGACACCCAAGAAGCATCACTGAGGACTCGGACACAAAACCCAGGCACGGTGACGGGAAGGGCCGAAGACCATGATATCCGCCGCCCAGTGTTGGCTTGCCACAGGGGTGCCCGGCGTGCTGAACCCTTTCGGTCTTGATTTTGGTTCTTTTTCCAAAAGAACTCCCCTTGGGGCTTCGGCCCGTCCCGCCGGCCGCCCGAAAAGGTTGCCGAAAATGCCCGGGTGGTCCCCCCCGTCGCGTCCAAGACGGCCAAGATTGCCCAAGATGGCCTCCAAGATGCGACTAAGACAGCAAAGATGGCCTCCAAGACTGGTAAGATGGTTCCAAGATGCATCCAAGACGGCCTAAGATGCCCTCCAAGACGGCCAAGATGGCCCCAAGATGCCTCAACGATGGGCCAAGAGGCCCCCAAGAGGCCTCCAAGAGGTCCTCCAGGAAGGCCCGAAGAGGCCAAAATCATTCATTGCCATTAGGTTTCTTCTTTTTGGGATTTTGGCATTTGCGCGTTTTGGACTTTCCGTCGGCCCAAGACGGCCCAAAGAGGCCCCCAAGAGGCCACAATCATTGATTTCCCGCAGGTTTTTGACAGATTTTGGCATTTGCTTCTTCTCGACATTCCGACGGCTCAAGACGGCGCAAGAGGCCCCGAAGATCGCTCAAAAGGCCTCCAAGATGGCCCCATGACGACCCAAGAGGCCCCCCAAGACGGCCCCAAGAGGGCCCCAAAACGGCCCAAGAGGCCTCCAAGACGCCCAAGATGGCCTCTCAGAACCCCTGCTATGCCCCAACAGGGCCCCAAGACAACCCAGACAGGCCCCCAAGACGGCGTCCGACGGCGTCAGACAAGCCAGGAACGCCCTAAGACAGCCAAAGAAGCCCCCAAGAAGCCCCCAAAGGCCTCCGAAAACCCTCCAAGAGGCCCCCAGGAAACTCACAGGAGGCCCCAAGAGTGCCCGAAGAGGCGCCCAAGAGGTCTCCTCCTCCTCCTCCTCCTCCTCCTCCTCCTCCTCCTCCTCCTCCTCTTTGTTTCCTTATCCTCCCCCTCCTCCACTTCTTGCTCCCCCACGAGTTCCCCGAAGTCTTTCCAAACCGACTCGGGGAACAGCTGGCCCGATAGCTTGGCCAAGCTCTGGCCCAGCTGTCGGCCACAGAGGCGCTTCTACAGGGGCAGGGGGCGGCGGTGATTCGCCGTAGGCGTCTTAGATCATTAGATATTGTGTGCGCCGTAGGCGCCTCTGGCGGCATCATAACCGAAAGCCGACAGAACCAACAGTGAAGCTGAAGTCGGCCGAAACCGAAAGCAGCCAAGAAAGACGCAGCGACGCAGAGGCCGACCAATCCGAACCGGCCAAATGCAATCGACTGCGAAGCAGCCGAACCGACTGAGCCGCGGACACCCTTGAGGGTCCATGCTTGCTTCTGTCTGCGTGTTGTAGGTCTGTCGCCTGCTCTTCGGCTCTGACGTTCTTCGCCGCGGCCGCGAGGCGGGACACGCAGAGACACTCGGGGACGTGGAGGGACTGGCGACGGCGGTACACCCTGCGAAATGCTTAAGAAATCATGGGTTAAGAAATTCATAGTCTCAGAACTTGAATAAAACCCAGAACTTCTATCAAAATCTTGGGATTTACATTGAAAAATTAAGAATAATCGAGACTCTGGCCGAAAACTTAGGTTTTCTTAAGCATCGCATAAGGTGTATGCGGGCCAGTCATGCCGCCATTCGTCGGGGATGCCAGGCAGGACACCCGAGGGCAGCGCACTCTCGGGGCCCCTCCGCGGCGGCGTGCGCACGGGTGCTGCCCTGCTCCGCCGAGACCGCCGACGCGGGACACTCGGGACCCGGGCACATCCTGGGGGCCGGACGGCCGCGGCGTGCAGGTCCAGAGGCTCCAGCGGGTGGGGAACTGGCCAGGACGGCGCCAGCACGAACGCCCGTGGCTCACCGCCAGTCGCCGCACACCGCCGCCGCCGCCGTCGTCGGCGGCCGAGGCGAGGGCGGCTTGGGGCGGGAGCGGCAGCCACCGAGACGACCCGCTCCGCAGCCGGCTGCTGCTCGCAGGGCTCGGCGGCGCGGGCGGCGGCGGGCGTCCCCTGGGAGGACGCCAAAGATCGCCGGCGGCACACCGGCACACCTCGCTGCTGTCAACACTGCTCTTGTCGCGGACCTGGCACTCGCGCAGATCGGTCGCGCGGGCATAGGGCTGCTGTGCAGCAGCTTGTTCAGAGGCCTCCTTGATAGGGTCGGATTAGCTGGGGTCGGAGGATCGCGCCGCACCGCCGATACATCGGGGATACGTCGCCGATGCATCGGCGACGTCGGCGATGCATCGGCGACGGCAGCGCGGAGAAGATTGAGCTCCATATCGAGCCGCATCGCCGATGCATCGGCGACACGGCGCGAACCTCCGACCCCATCTGCTCGGACCCCATCTCGGATTAGGTCGGGCATGTCCCCCTACAGGCGGATTTGGGACGCACCAAACAAATACTTCAACAATACCCCCAAAATTATCAAAAATGGTCAAACAATCGTCCCCTGACTATTTTTGGAATACTATTTTTGAATATTCCCCCTGTAGAGGGACAGGCCCGACTTGAATCTGGGAGGCCTCGACTGTTGCGGCGCAAGAAAGAGAGAGAGAGAGAGAGAGAGATACATATACATGTATATATATACATATATTCAAATGGTACAGTCTGTGTAACCGCATGCCGATGATAATAAAGGGACCCCCCCCTTCAGTGTTTAGAGTTGATTATCGTCGCCCTATACAAAATTCAAATTGGGCGGCGAGCGCTGAGGCCGAACTTCATTATCACCTCGAAACGCTATGTTGAGATAGCAACATCAAGCGAAGCGATCACACTTATCTCGTATTTTATCCGTATTTTATATTTGTATATATCCCCGCGCGCGCCTGAACTTTTTTTATCCCTGGGGTTGATTATCCATGGAAACTGAAGCACATGAGCTACCCTACATGAGCACTTAAAAAATCGATGTTCATAAAGCGTTTGTAAATTAAAATTGATAGATTGGAATTTTGATTTGTTCCTTTCTTCTTATCTTATTCTTCTTCTCCTCTTCTTCTCTTCTTATTATTCTTCTACTCTTCTCTTCTTCTTTTATATTTCTATATGTCCCCACGCTCTTGATCATCTCTTACTTCGAGATTATGCTGAGGTCTGCTGGGCTACTTTTATTATCTCTCCCTGAACCCCGAACTTTATTATCCCCTAGTGTTTATTCTCACGGGCATGAGGTTACTGCATTTCGGTATGCAGTGTATGGTGTCCCATACTGCCGCTCCCCCGTGGGCAGCTGCTGCCGAGGGACCTTCTGGCCGGGGTTTCGAGGCGAATCCAGCCGTGCCGACAAGGGAATGGGGAAGCCAGAACTGAGAGTGTTCTCAGGGTGACGCGAATCCAGCGGTGGTGACGAGGGCCTCCCAGGAGGTCCAAAACAAGGGGAGAACGGCCGAAGGGTAGAGGTGTGGGTATACCGCTTCCTCCTCTGAGGGAGGGGTGGCGGGATCGGTACACTCTACTGCTCTGAGGGCCACTGTGCTCCAGCGGATGCTTTTTGGAGTCCCGAGACGGTGCGGTGACAGACCGTGCGGTGACCTCGACGTCCCCCAAGGCCTCACTGCACGGTCCGTCAACGCACGGCTTTGGGACCTCGGACGGCCCCAGTCGCCCGAGACGCCCTCGGAGAACGACCTGAGTCCCGAAACCGTGCGGTGACCCCGCGTCCCCGCCGAACCACCACACGGTGTGGTCACCACCCCGTTTGTGGACAAGCGCGTTCCACTACCCGCAAATGAACGACTCGCAAATGGCCTGAATCCGCCGCGGAGGATTTACGTATACTACAGAGAGGAATACCTAATCTGTTCGGACGTTTGCGAGTTGGCACTTTGCGAGAATAGTGGCACGCGCTCGGCGAGTTTGGGAGCCCCCCCGAGGCTTCGCGTCCCCGGGGCCCCGTGGCCGGCGGCCCCGCCGGCGGGCGCGCCCCGGAATCCGCCGCGCCGCGGCGTGCGCGCGGCAGGCGGGCACGGGCTGCTTTGGTCGTCGCCGCCGCCGCCGCCGTCGTCGTCGTCGCCGTCGTCGTCGTCGGCGTCGTTTCGGTCGTCGTCGTCGTCGGCGTCGTCGGCGTCGTTTCGGTCGTCGTCGTCGGCGGCGGCGGCGGCGTCGTTTCGGTCGTCGTCGTCGTCGGCGTCGGTTCGGTCGTCGTCGTCCGTCGGCGGCGTCGTCTTGGTCGTCGGCGTCGTGGCCGTCGGCGGCGTCGGCGTCGTGGTCGTCGGCGTCGCCGTGGTCGTCGGCGTCGATGTGGTCGCAGGCCTCGATGTGGTCCTCGAAGATCGGCCCGTCTGGCTCGGCAAGCGCCGCGCCGAGGGATGTGGTCGAGAGCGGGCGAACGTTTTCTCATTCGGCGTTTCGACATTGGGCGGGAGGGGGGGCGAGGATGAGGATGATGAGGATGAGGATGAGGGTGAGGATGAGGATGAGGAGGAGACGGAGGAGGAGGAGGAGGAGGAGGAGGAGGAGGAAGCGAGGGAGGAGGAGGAGGAGGAGGAGGAGGAGGAAGGGGAGGAGGAGGAAGACGACGACGATGACGACTATGACGACGACGAGGAAGAAGCGGAAATGGAACAGAACAACGATATAGGCAAGGGATGTCTGGCTCCGAACCTCTGCTTAACGCGACTGTTTGCAACAGTGCGTTCCAGGGGGGAGACTCCACATGCTTGAGACAGGCGTCAAAGATAGCAAAGATCTACTCCATTTCGGGGGAGGGGAGGGCAAAGGAGGGCCCGCGCAGATCGACAAAGCAATGACCAAGAAAACAGGGCTGGACCTAAACGCTGTGTTTCGTTATGTCTTCGCTTTTTGTTTTTCGTTTTGCTCCACCCGTTTTCCTGCACCTCCCTGCCAACACGAATGACAAAACACAGCCGAAGTCCAGCAACACAGCGTCTAGGTCACCTGGTGTCGCCCTGGTTTCGCGCCGACGCCTGCTCCTTGCCTCATCACCGCGGCGTCGGATCTCGCAAGGCGTAGGTCGGGCCTGTCCCCCTACGGGCGGATGTTGGACGAAAAAGGACACAGACACAAAGATAAGATCCCAAATTATCCAACAAACAAACCAGGCATCGCCCCCAAACTATGCTTTGACGATCGTCGAAACCTCCACCTGCAGAGGGACGGACCCGACGCAACGCCAGGCCCCGCCTTCTTCACCGCAGGGCGGCCGGCTCTCTCTCTCTGCGCGCGGGCGCCCCGGAGGCCCGCCGCGGGCCTCGGTGCGAGACCCACGCCACACCACAGCGGCAGATCGGCCTCGGACTTCCGCCCTGGGCTCGGCTTCGTGGAGTGACGGGTTTCGGGACCCTGACGCGGGGCCTCAGGGGGCCCCAGGGGGCCCAAAGTTGGTGGCGTGAGGGTCTGCGGGCCTCGGACTCGGGGCACAGAGCCCGTGGCACAAGGGCGGCCGGGAATGCTGAGGCCGAGACCTCTGATCGGCGGCGAGACCGGTCGGAGGCGCGAAAACAGGGATTAGCGATCCACGGATGTGGCGCGCGGTCGCCAAATCCACGGATCGGGGGAGGTGCCCTCCCCAAAAATGCGGCAAGTGCCGCCTCGCTCGGCGGCGGAAATCTGCGATTTCCCACGGAAACGGGACCCGTCGCTAATCCACGCCCCCTTGCTCCATGTTTGCGATCGCCTGAGAGAAGGGACGGGCCTTCTCAGAAGGCTCGGAAGCCCCCCGGCATTCTGGAACGTTTTCGAAGCATACCCCGAAGGCGCAAAACAACATGTCTCAGAGGGCTCGAGGGCTGCCGAGAAGCCCCGCCGCCCTCTGAAAGGCCGAAATCTCTGAGCCCCATGTTTCATTCCGCCACCGTGCGGTAGGCACCGAGTGGGATGTCCTCAGGTCCTTGCGTATTCGCTGCAGTGAGCACAATGTCATCATGACGCCCAGGCGTCAGAAGTGTGGAAATTCTTCCAACGCTTCTAAGCTCTCCTGGGCTTGTCGCGTTACGTGTCCAAGATATCGGTAACGAGACTCAGAATCCAAACCTTCAACATACCCCAAGATGGTCGGTCCCATAGGGCCGTCCCTGCACTCTTTTGAGGGCTACTCTGGCCGTTTTGGAGGCGCTTGGGGCTGGCCCAACAGACCAAGCTCAGTGAAAGCCAAAGCGTGATGGAGAACCATTTTTGCTTTTTCCTTTTCATGCATCAAAAGTAAGGAAGACATACGACTCAATGACGGAAGACACGAATTCGTCTGATGGTGTCGTCAACGGAATGAGGGGATCTAATCTTACATTTGACGCGAGTTACTTCTGCAAACATCTCACGAAATCTGGACCGTCAGAAATCACGCCGAGACGGTCAAAGAGCGGCGACACACCAGAGTTTTGGCAAACTCGACTCGTACGTTTCCCACGACGGCCCAAGAGGCCTGCAAGAATGCCCCAGAAGGGGCACTTTGGGCCCTTCGCTCCAAGATGGCCCCCGAGACGGCCGACAGCCCCCAAGAGGCGCCAAGGAAGCCCCCAAAGAGGCCTCCATGAAACCCCCAAGAGGCTTTCCATGACCGGTGGCGGTGTAGCCAAGGTCACTAGATAGCAACAACTAAAATACATCACATAGCAACCACGTCAGCGGTCATGGAGAGTGATTCGAATGTTGAGGTCTCGAAGGCTATGCAGCCCTGAGTTCTACACAGAAGCAAATATCATCTGAGCTCCGAGTGAGCGCGCCCTGCGCAAACCAATAGCCAGATCCCCGCACCGCATCGAGGCCTTGTGCGTCCATTGTGTTGCGTTCAATGCCCGTCTCTGAGGCCAACAGCAATGTTGACCGTAGCGGAATGACGAATGGGCTATGGAATGGAGCGCCCGAACTCTTCAACTCTACCCCCAGTGCATTCCACCAAATGCGGCGTTCGCATCAGGCTCGGCCACGCTACGAACGCACTGCGCGTGTGACGCCCTCGTGCAATTTGCTTGTGTACCTCGCAGAACTAATGTGCGCCTCCGGAAATACACTCATCGAGCTGACATACGGAAGCCTGAATAGGGAACGACGGAGAGTTCAACGGCGAGCCTCGGCCACGAAAATGTCCCACGACCAATGAACGGCCCAAAAGCCAGAGCCCCTCCTGTGCCCGAACTTCTGCGGTTCTCAGCGGTCTCGCGCGGTCGTCGGCGGTCTCCGGCGCGGCCGCTGGATGGTTGCGTTTCACACGGGGCCCATGATCGAACGCCAGGGCAGGAAATGATGCAGCGCTGCGGGTGGTCTGGCGCCCGTGCCCCTGGAGGGCAGCCGGGCTCGCTAAATGAAAAACGGCATCGAGAATCAATGTGCTTAGCGCTGCCGGGGCCGCATCCGTCCTCGGGTGTCCATCCTCAGGTTCCCTCAGGTGTCCAATCCAATCGAGCACCAAAACGTCCCCAATCGCGGACTTTGTGAGATTTTCCACTGATGGGAGAGAAAATCAGGGCCGAGCCCAGCAAAAGCACTATTGGGGGGCGCCCACCTTCGAGAGGGGGGCTCGTCCGAGTAGCCCAGTCAATGTGCATATCCGAGCTCCTTTCCTTCCCCAAACGGCCGCTTCTGTGGAGAGGACCTCGGGAATTGGGGGCGAGAGATGAGATCACCTGCAACCCAACTTGGCACGAAGAAAACGGTTCCTAAGGGAAACGGGTCCTCTAGACCGCGGGGCCCCCCGGGACCGGCCTTTCATCCAGAATCGTTATGTTGACGGTCCCTTGGACCCTAGGATGGCTCCGGCAGCCCGGATAGAAAAATATCAGGGCCGCCTCCATCAAGACCCCGTCCTCTAAAAGCGACGCAACCGTCCCAACCACCCGTCGAACTGAGCAACCTTTAAACCGATCCCCATCCCCACCAGCGTGGGCTGGGCCCCACTGGCCGATTCACCCCCCTGGGTGTGGATAATTATAGCCTGCTCTCTTCGGGTTTCGAGGGGCAGATCCCCAACTGAGGTGGTGAGACGGTTGGGCTCGAGATGAGGATGGTGATGTTGTGGATGCAATGACGATGGACACTCTAACAATCCCATCATTGAATTAAAGATGCGCTTATACTGTGTTAACATGCTCTGTACATGTTTCAAACATGTTCTTTTACATGCTCAAAATGCTTGAAACATCTCTTAAACATCTGGAAATTGTCCGGCAGCACGCTTCATCTCCATTCATCGACTTCCACAATGGTGATGGGGATGGGGATCGGTGAAACGATACTGACGAACAGCATCAGCAGCATCCCGGCCTCCCTACCTGACAGCCTTCTAGGCCTGACCCCTCCCGACCCCTCCCGGCACGGACCCGGCCTCGCGGGGGCCCTTCACCCGCCCCTATGGACCTTTTGCTCTGCCAGCGGCGGCGTGAAGGCGCGAGGCGTCGGCGACGGATAGCAGTGGCCCGGCGACGGCAGGGCACGCCCCCCTACAGGCGGATTTTGGATGAAATGTCAAAAATAAGTGGCACGTGTGCCATGGCTCTTGCACAAAAAGGAAGGGGGAGGAGG